TAAAAAATCAACTCTCCAATTCGAAGTCAGTGCTCGTAGCTGCATTCATGCGTACACAGGATATATGATATACAACACCACATAGTCCACAGTCAATTTCCATCGTTCTTTCTTCGTAGAATCCCTTTTACAATTTCCAGAATTTATTCTCGTTGCTGTTCTGACAGTAGGGTAGGCTGTATTCACTTAAATATTTAAGATTCTAGATTTAAACGTTTGTACAAAACTACACACTATGAACCACCAGTTAGTCTAACTGTAGCAGGTATTTTAGTATCCGGGAACACACAGACTCGATGATAAAATTGAAAACTGGCAACTCTTCAGGTTATGCCCAGCAGTGTCCAGGCCTATAGGCCTGGTTAGCATGGGACAGTAAGTGTAAAATAATGTACCTCTTGTGTTACTGGTGTTACATTTTCTTATTATATTATTTTGTATCACTTCTTCCTTGTGACTTTATTAAAACAACTTTTCTCTGTAGTGTAAAGCACCCTTCTGGCAAGACAGTGATGGAGTGAATGATGGTGAAAGTTTTTCTTTTTCGGGCCACCCTGCCTTGGTGGGAATCGGCCAGTGTGATAATAATAATAATAATAAATCTCTCCATGAACGTAGTTACATTAACAGAACAATACTCCTGTTATCATGTCTACATTGTTTGTAGTTACAGCAGCAAAGCTGTGCTAGTATTGTCTCGTCTACAGTGTAGTCACAGCAGCAGAGCTGTGCTAGTATTGTCTCGTCTACAGTGTTTGTAGTCACAGCAGCAGAGCTGTGCTAGTATTGTCTCGCCTACAGTGTTTGTAGTCACAGCAGCAGAGCTGTGCTAGTGTAGTCTCGTCTACAGTGTTTGTAGACACAGCAGCAGAGCTGTGCTAGTATTGTCTCGTCTACAGTGTTTGTAGTCACAGTAGCAGAGCTGTGCTAGTGCAGTCTAGTCTACAGTGTTTGTAGTCACAGTAGCAGAGCTGTGCTAGTGTTGTTTCGTCTACAGTGTTTGTAGACACAGCAGCAGAGCCGTGCTAGTGTTGTCTCGTCTACAGTGTTTGTAGTCACAGCAGTAGAGCTGTGTTAGTATTGTCTCGTCTACCACCAGTCCGATGACATTCTTCTTTGCAAATATACAGGGTCTAATGCCAGCAACGAACAACAAAATACCTTTCATCCGTGTACTGCTTGCAGAGGAATGTTCGCGGCTTTCACAGAGACCCGAAATATGGATCTCAGGTTACAACCTATACAGATGCGACAGAGTGAACAGGCAAAAGGTGGGGGGGGAAGGGGGTTGGCCTGTGTATCGTAGAGTCACTTATTTGCACAGAACTGCTTAATGCCTCATGATGTACTGGAAGTTATAGCAGTAAAGATCGAGAACCAAAACCTAGTCATTGTGATAGTCTACAAGCCTCCGGATGCAATGTTCCAGCAATTCTAGGAACAGCTGTTAAAAATTTACCACTGTCTGGAAAATCTTCCAGCTCCTGCCCCCCAATATCTTGCTCCTGGGGGATTTCAACTTGAGGCACCTAAAATGGAGGAATATAGCAAATAATATTGTTGCAGTAATAACACCAGGAGGCAGCTCTGACGAGAACTCACACACACACGAGCTTTTAAATCTCTGCACAAAATTCAACTTAAACCAGCAAATAATAGAGCCTACTAGACTGGAGAATACACTAGACCTCAGTTTCACAACAATGATGATCTGATACGAAATGTCACCATATCAAAAACAATATACTCAGATCACAACATAATCGAGGTTCAGACATGTATGCGCGGAGTCCCAGACCGACAAAGTGAGATTAGTCACGAGGGAGCCTTCACCAAATTCAAGTTCAATAACAAGAACATAAAGTGGGATCAAGTAAACCAAGTCCTAAACGATATAAGCTGGGAAGATAGACTAAGCAACACAGACCCCAACTTATGCCTTGATCAGATTAACTCGATGGCACTCGATGTATGCTCAAGGCTTATTCCTTTAAGAAAAAGGAGGAGTAGATGTAAAATAGAAAGAGACAGGCGCTCCCTTTACAGGCGACGGAAAAGAATAACAGAGCGGCTAAAAGAGGCCAATATATCTGAAATGCGTAGGGAGACACTGGTCAGAGAAATAGCAAACATCGAACTTAACCTAAAGGAATCTTATAGGAGTCAGGAATCGCGGGAAGAACTAAAAGCCATAAATGAAATCGAAAGAAACCCAAAGTATTTCTTTTCTTATGCCAAATCAAAGTCGAGAACAACATCCAGTATTGGGCCCCTACTTAAACAAGATGGGTCCTACACAGACGACAGCAAGGAAATGAGTGAGCTACTCAAGTCCCAATGTTACTCAGTTTTTAGCAAGCCGCTAACCAGACTGAGAGTCGACGATCAAAATGGATTTTTTATGAGAGAGCCACAGAATTTGGTAAACACAAGCCTATATGATGTTATCCTGACGTCAAATGACTTCGAACAGGCGATAAATGACATGCCCATGCACTCTGCCCCAGGGCCAGACTCATGGAACTCGTGTTCATCAAGTACTGCAAGAAGCCCCTATCACGAGCTTTTACCATCCTATGGAGAGGGAGCACGGACACGGGGGTCGTCCACACAGTTACTAAAAATAACAGACATAGCCCCACTCCACAAAGGGGGTAGTAAAGCAATAGCAAAGAACTACAGACCGATAGCACTAACATCCCATATCATAAAAATCTTTGAAAGGGTCCTAAGAAACAAGATCGCCACCCATCTAGATACCCATCAATTACATAACCCAGGACAACATAGGTTTAGAGCCGGTCGCTCCTGTCTGTCTCAACTACTGGATCACTTCGACAAGGTGCTAGATGCACTAGAAGACAAAAAAGAATGCAGATGTAATATATACACACTTTGCAAAAGCCTTCGACAAGTGTGACCATGGCGTAATAGCGCACAAAATGCGTGCTAAAGGAATAACAGGAAAAGTTGGTAGGTGGATCTATAATTTCCTCACAAACAGAACACAAAGTGTAGTAGTCAACAGTGTAGTAGTCTGAGGTGGTTACGGTGAAAAGCTGTTTCACAAGGCACAGTACTCGCTCCCATCTTGTTTCTCATCCTCATAGCTGACATAGACAAGATGTCAGCCACAGCACCGTGTCTTCCTTTGCAGATGACACCCGAATCTGCATGACAGTGTCTTTCTTTCATTGCAGACACTGCAAGGCTCCAGGCGGACATCAACCAAATCTTTCAATGGGCTGCAGAAAACAATATGAAGTTCAACGATGAGAAATTTCAATTACTCCAATATGGTAAACATGAGGAAATTAAAACTTCATCAGAGTACAAAACAAATTCCGACCACAAAATAGAGCGAAAAACCACCGTCAAAGACCTGGGAGTGATCATGTCGGAGGATCTCACCTTCAAGGACCATAACTTTGTAACAATCGCATCTGCTAGAAAAATGACAGGATGGATAATGAGAACCTTCAAAACTAGGGATGCCAAGTCCATGATGACACTCTTCAGGTCGCTTGCTCTATTTAGGCTGGAATATTGCTGCACACTAACAGCACCTTTCAAGGCAGGTGAAATTGCTGACCTAGAAAATGTACAGAGAACCTTCACAGCGCGCATAACAGAGATAAAACACCTCAGTTACTGGGAGCGCTTGAGGTTCCTGAACCTGTATTCCCTGGAACGTAGGCGGGAGAGATACATGATTATATACACCTGGAAAATCCTAGAGGGACTAGTACCGAACTTGCACACGAAAATCACTCACAACAAAAGCAAAAGACTCGGCAGACGATGCTACATCCTCCCAATGAAAAGCAGGGGTGTCACTAGCACGTTAAGAGGCAATACAGTGTCAGAGGCCCGAGACTATTCAATTGCCTCCCATCATACATAATGGGGATTACCAATAGACCCCTGGCTGTCTTCAAGCAGGCACTGGACAAGCACCTAATGTCGGTACCTGACCAGCCGGGCTGTGGCTCGTACGCTGGATTGCGTGCAGCCAGCAGTAACAGCCTGGTTGATCAGGCTCTGATCCACCATGAGGCCTGGTCACAGAGCGGGCCCCGGAACTCTCTCCAGGTAAACTCCAGGTAAACAGTGTTTGTAGACACAGCAGCAGAGCTGTGCTAGTGTTGTCTCGTCTACAATGCTTGTAGTCACAACAGCAGAGCTGTGCTAGTGTTGTCTCGTCTACAATGCTTGTAGTCACAACAGCAGAGCTGTGCTAGTGTAGTCTCGTCTACAATGCTTGTAGTCACAGCAGCAGAGCTGTGCTAGTGTTGTCTCGTCTACAATGCTTGTAGTCACAACAGCAGAGCTGTGCTAGTGTTGTCTCGTCTACAATGCTTGTAGTCACAACAGCAGAGCTGTGCTAGTGTTGTCTCGTCTACAATGCTTGTAGTCACAACAGCAGAGCTGTGCTAGTGTTGTCTCGTCTACAATGCTTGTAGTCACAGCAGCAGAGCTGTGCTAGTGTTGTCTCGTCTACAATGCTTGTAGCCACAACAGCAGAGCTGTGCTAGTGTTGTCTCGTCTACAATGCTTGTAGTCACAACAGCAGAGCTGTGCTAGTGTTGTCTCGTCTACAATACTTGTAGTCACAACAGCAGAGCTGTGCTAGTGTTGTCTCGTCTACAATGCTTGTAGTCACAACAGCAGAGCTGTGCTAGTGTTGTCTCGTCTACAATGCTTGTAGTCACAACAGCAGAGCTGTGCTAGTGTTGTCTCGTCTACAATGCTTGTAGTCACAACAGCAGAGCTGTGCTAGTGTTGTCTCGTCTACAATGCTTGTAGTCACAACAGCAGAGCTGTGCTAGTGTTGTCTCGTCTACAATGCTTGTAGTCACAACAGCAGAGCTGTGCTAGTGTTGTCTCGTCTACAATGCTTGTAGTCACAGCAGCAGAGCTGTGCTAGTGTTGCAGTGTCTTGCTACGTACTCTCAATTCCCCAAGAAGCAGGCACTGCTTTAAAATTAATAATCTCTTACCTGATAAAACTTGGGTGAAAGAAATCAGCTTTCCCACACGTGGAACTGGTTGGCCCAAAAAACCTCAAACTTTGGTGAAGATAGTCGGGAAAGTGTGTGTATGGTTGTCTTCCCGAGCGACCCACGACAACTCTCACCCGGTGAAGATGAACGAAAACTTCTCCTATTATTTACACCTTCCTCATATTTTCTTCACCCCAGACACCAGCAGATTTAAAAGAAAACAGTGAGTCTTTCGTAAGACTTAGAAAGGAGGTCAAATGTTTGGATAAAAGGGAATCTAATGGTTTTAAAATGGCGTTGAAAGATGTGAGTGGAAGCAGTGCTGCAGTGGGCAACCCATGACCTTCAGCCTCCTGTCTACCACGCATGCGTAAAGCCACCCAAGTACTCCTAGGTGCGACACTCCTAGGTGCGACACTTCTAGTTGAGTCGCCATCCTAAGTGTTTACCGTAGTAGTTGACCTTCCCTAATTGTATTCCAAAATCTATAATCAAGGATTATATTATTATTATTATTATTATTATTATTATTATTATTATTATAATTATTTTATCGGTAAAAGCTGAACCTCCTTGGGAACTTATAGCCAGTTAGGTTCGATCCGAGGAAGAAAGGGGAGAGCAGCTCCTGTTCCTTGAAGAATTAGAGCCAATAACGAGGCAGCAGCAGAAAAGAGATAGTTAACATGCAGTCTATGCCATCATTTTCTTCTAATTAGCGGTGAAGACAAAGTCATAACAGGGCAATTAAAATCCTCCAGTAATCGCGTATTGGGCAGAAATTGGGGCCAATACAGCTGTTGATGGAGGGACAGAGAGAGAGAGAGAGAGAAAGAGAGAGAGAGAGAGAGAGAGAGAAGAGAGAGAGAGAGGGAGAGAGAGAGAGAGAGAGAGAGAGAGAGAGAGAGAGAGAGAGAGAGAGAGAGAGAGAGAGAGAGAGAGAGAGAGAGGACATGAAAAGAGGTCATTCAAAATCATGATATAATTACGTGCAACCAACATACCTGGAGTTTACCTGGAGAGAGTTCCGGGGGTCAACGCCCCCGCGGCCCGGTCTGTGACCAGGCCTCCTGGTGGATCAGAGCCTGATCAACCAGGCTGTTACTGCTGGCTGCACGCAAACCAACGTACGAGCCACAGCCCGGCTGATCAGGAACCGACTTTAGGTGCTTGTCCAGTGCCAGCTTGAAGACTGCCAGAGGTCTGTTGGTAATCCCCCTTATGTATGCTGGGAGGCAGTTGAACAGTCTCGGGCCCCTGACACTTATTGTATGGTCTCTTAACGTGCTAGTGACACCCCCTGCTTTTCATTGGGGGGATGTTGCATCGTCTGCCAAGTCTTTTGCTTTCGTAGTGAGTGATTTTCGTGTGCAAGTTCGGTACTAGTCCCTCCCTTCCAGGTGTATATAATCACGTCTCTCCCGCCTGAGTTCCAGGGAATCCAGATTCAGGAACCTCAAGCGCTCCCAGTAATTGAGGTGTTTTATCTCCGTTATGCGCGCCGTGAAGGTTCTCTGTATATTTTCTAGGTCAGCAATTTCACTTGCCTTGAAAGGTGCTGTTAGTGTGCAGCAATATTCCAGCCTAGATAGAACAAGTGACCTGAAGAGTGTCATCATGAGCTTGGCCTCCCTAGTTTTGAAAGTTCTCATTATCCATCCTGTCATTTTTCTAGCAGATGCGATCGATACAATGTTATGGTCCTTGAAGGTGAGATCCTCCGACATGATCACTCCCAGGTCTTTGACGTTGGTGTTTCGCTCTATTTTGTGGCCAGAATTTGTTTTGTACTCTGATGAAGATTTAATTTCCTCGTGTTTACCATATCTGAGTAATTGAAATTTCTCATCGTAGAAATTTCAAATGTGTCAGAAAACGCCTCAAACCGCTCCAGAAATGTGATTAGATTTTGCCGCCGATGTGACTAACTTATTGTGCACCCCTCTGAAGGAAGGTTCCTTGATGCTGGTGAGGGGCTCTTGATCTAGGGAATTGGATCTGTGCTCCTGTTCCCTGAAATAATCCTGAATACCTTCCACATCCCCCCTCCCCCTACAGGCGCTGTATAATCCTACGGGTTTATCGCTCCTGTTGATTATAATAATAATTATTGTGCACCCCATATCCATCCTGTGGAAGAAAGTGCAAGAGCATATGGATACACAAAACTCCTAGGAACTAGGCCTCGACAGGGCTAATAGGGGTACATCTGGATTTGTGTCTCCAGTTCACTTATCTTTTGCAAGCAGATTTAGGAAATTTGCTTAATATTTCTGGTATTTTATTTTTATTAAATATATATCTTAATATATCACATACATTGTTTTAATAGCTATTTCTATAGGTTAGGTTGGGTAAGGTTTGTCAGGAAACATTGAATGTGTTTCCTGACATAGTCATATGATGACCCGTAGCTGGCATATACCCGACTGGAAGGTAGAAACTCGATCCTACATTAGCTACGTTTGAAACATACACGCTACACAACTGTACTCAATTGTGGCGTAAAATATTACTAACAATACTGTATAGGAAATGTGAAGACAAGAAATGCCAGAAAGTAGCAAAATGAGAATTGACTGACAGTTTTATTGGCAACGAAAGATAAAATAAATGACTAGTCTGTGGATATCTTTGCAAAAGTTAAAAGGAAAATACAATTTAAGAATCTGTGAGTTGGGGAGAGAAGTATGTTAGGACACAGTGAAGCTGTGTTGCTCTGCAATAATGGTACGTTAGACGAAACCTTCGTTTATTATGAGAAAGGTGGAAATAGACGAGCCGAGGTGGTGGTGACCGAGGATTAGTCAAGGTTAACTGTATAAGTGGAAGGTTGGTGTTCTAACTCCACCAGACGTAAAAATGTAAAGTGTGTGTAGAGGGAAATAAATACACACTCTAACACTCCATTATAAATTCACTCTCCAAAACTAGATGAAAAGTGTGTGTAGAGGAGGATAAACACACTCCAGCAATCCAAGATAAACACACTCTCCAACACTATATGGAAAGTGTGTATAGAGGAAGATTAACACACTCTCCAACACTTCAGGATAAACACACACTCCAACACTCCAGCATAAACATACACTGCAACACTCCAGGACAAACACACTCCGATATCAGCAGCATCCTGGCTGCCTTAATAAAGAGATATCATTGCTTTAACAAATTATCCTCGAATGCTTTATGAAAGTCTTCCATACTCAACGCCATCTTTGAAAAGTTCTTAACTTTAAAACAGTAAAGAAGACTTTCAGAAATCATTTGATGATAATTTGCAAAGGTAATGATATCTCTTTACTGAGGCAGCCAGGATGCTGCTGACCTCTCCCAAGACGTGCCTACTCTTTTTTGCATGTGTATCGAATCATCTATGGTACGTTCACTTACAGGATGAGTGCCGAGATTCGCTACCGTTATTATGGCAATAACTGTACTCACAGGATGAGTGTCACTGCCTAATGCCATCTTTATGATGTGTGTATAGCTTTGAGGGACAAGAACTAGATGTCATGGTTGGTTATGCTGGAGGAAGATTCTTCTTCCAACATACGGCGGGTCACAATTTGTTAATTACTTAAAAACCACTTGTTCGTCGTTGCATTAATGTATGGACTACTCGTGAAGGCTGGTATTTCAGAAGTGAAATAGAATGAAATTAGTTCTGAACCTATCACAACCTACCACATGCCTAGTGCTACTAGGTACATGATGTTTGTAGGCTTGATGGCCCAGTAGTTAAAACGTTCTAAATTTTAAGTTGCTTCCCACGAGGCAGGCTAAAACAACAAGGTTTGACCGTAATAAATATTTTATTTTTTTAGTAGGAATCTTGTTGACACAGCCATCAGCATTTTTTGCGGGATTTTTAAATCAGATTTTTTTTACTCTATCAACATTTGTAAATATAACTTTGGTTCTAAAATTCTTAAGAAGAGAAGGTATATCAAGGAGGTTTTCATGGTAAGGCAGAACCAACTAAGATTACAACAACATAAATACAACATTAGAACTGGACAAGAGACTAATGTTTTTTTTTTTAATCCAGTTAATTTTCAGAAGGCAAAGAAAGTTGTATGAATTGGGTCTGTGGTTAAGAGAAATATAATTCAGTCAAGCTTCATAAAAAATAATATTGATTTTAATATGAATAATAGTTTAGTTATATAAATTAGTTTCATTGATAATTAATAAGATTTGGGATGCGTGACAGGTCCTTGACATTCCCACCCGCATCATGCTGGGACGGGTGTAATGTCCTGTAATAATAACCCTTGTACTGTTCAGTTAATTTTACAGATCCTTGGTAATGTGAGATATCACGAAATCACTTGGAAGTTCACTATTTTTTTCACAATGGAACCTTGCAAATGCCACTATTAATCTGGGTGGCTTCCGTAAACTTTTTTTTTCTCCTTTTTTACAAATGTTTAAGTGGTATTGCGCCTCGTGAAGGCGATGTTGACATCACTGAGAGAGAGAGAGAGAGAGAGAGAGAGAGAGAGAGAGAGAGAGAGAGAGAGAGAGAGAGAGAGAGAGAGAGAGAGAGAGAGAGAGAGAGAGAGAGAGAGAGAGAGAGAGAGAGAGAGAGAATCACCTTTGCAGATTTAAGCTCGTCTGAATAAGGAAGGGCAATATTTTTTACTTTCATAGTTGTCTTTTCTCTAGGCTTCAAAAAGTTAATTAAGCAACTTAGAAAATGTGTTACAAACGTACTCGTTTATGGGCTACATGAGCTGTGAATCACACACTCTGTAAGCTCAGAGAAATGAGCTAGTAATGGCGCCTGTGTTGTTTGGAAAAAAGAAAAGGTGTGCAGATAAGTATCTGAATGTGAAGAGGACGGTAGAGTGAAGAGGAAGGTAGAGTGAAGAGGACGGTAGAGTGAAGAGGACGGTAGAGTGAAGAGGACGGTAGAGTGAAGAGGACGGTAGAGTGAAGAGGACGGTAGAGTGAAGAGGACGGTAGAGTGAAGAGGACGGTAGAGTGAAGAGGAAGGTAGAGTGAAGAGGACGGTAGAGTGAGGAGGACGGTAGAGTGAAGAGGACGGTAGAGTGAAGAGGACGGTAGAGTGAAGAGGACGGTAGAATGAAGAGGACGGTAGAGTGA